TGAAGCCGCCGGCCGCGTTGGAAAAGCCGTATCAACCTAGCGAGGCTACAAAGGCGCTCGAAAAAATGAGCGAGCTGAGCAAGCTGGGCGGGGAGGATCTCTTCAGGTCGTCTTCCGGAGGTGGTGGTACAGTGACAGGTGCCAATGCGCCAGCGACGACGTCCAGCAGTCGTCATAGCGCTTGGCAATCTCACTGGTTGAATAAAGGTGCCGATCAAGCGAAGGATGTTCTAAAATGCGTGTGGTGCAAACAAAGTTTCCCGACTTTGGCCGCAATGACGACGCACATGAAGGAAGCGAAGCACTGCGGCGTGAACATGCCGGTACCACCGCCAGCACCAGGAATTCACTCACAGCAGACGACGATGCCTACCATACCACCGCCTCAACAACCACATCAACCGCAGACATCTACCGGTAATACTGGCAGCAACACTTCGGGTACACCTAGCAGCAAACAAAGTCCATCCGATTTGAATCTACTGATTAAGGAAACGATGCCACTGCCGCGGAAACTCGTGCGAGGTCAAGATGTCTGGTTAGGCAAGGGAGCTGAACAAACGCGACAGATTCTAAAGTGTATGTGGTGCGGACAGAGTTTCCGTTCGCTAGCCGAGATGACCTCGCATATGCAGCAAACGCAACATTATACGAACATCATCTCTCAAGAACAGATAATATCTTGGAAATCATCGGATGACAGCAAGGGTGGTAATTCTACCGGCGCTGGCGGAGGTAGCGGAAATGTCGCTGGTGGAGGTGGCACAGGGGTACAGCCGGGTGGAGGGTCCGGACCTCACAGCGGAAACAACGGTGGTCCCGGAGCAGGCGCCACAAGCAGTCACGTTAGCGCCGTGCTGACCTGTAAGGTTTGCGATCAAGCATTCAGCTCCTTGAAAGAGTTGAGCAACCACATGGTCAAGAATTCGCATTACAAGGAGCATATAATGCGGTCGATTACAGAAAGCGGTGGACGTCGGCGGCAAACGCGCGAGAAGCGGAAAAAGTCACTGCCCGTGAGAAAATTATTAGAGCTGGAACGCGCGCAAAATGAATTCAAGAATGGCGACGCTGCTGTGGGTTTGACTCATAGTCTCGGAAAGCATGCTGGGAGAATCACGTGCGAGAAATGTGGCGAGAAGATAGAGACCCCGCTTTTTGTCGAGCACATACGCCAGTGCATCGGCGCGGGCACGGTGGGTGCTAATCAGCGAAACTTTTTGAAGAACGCGCTCATGTCCAATCATTTGCCCGCGTTACCGCCAACCGAGAGCGGACGTAAGAGCGTCAACGAGGAAACGTCTTCGATATCATCGAGGCATCACCGGTCTCCATCTTCGGCCAGTGACGCGACCACGCCGGGAAAAGATACTCCTACACCAACTGCTAATGAAACTACCGCTCCGATGGGCACCTCACCGTCGGTTTTGAATGCAATAGAGAAGCTCATCGAGAAGAGTTTCGATTCTCGCGTGAGGCACGGTACGCCCGGCTTGCATCACGCTCAACCCGGCGCGCCAATGGGTACGAGCATTCTTAAGCGTTTGGGTATCGACGAGAGTGTAGATTACACAAAACCTCTGGTGGATCCGCAAACGATGAATCTGCTTCGATCTTATCAACAGCAACATCAGCAGCAACATTACAACGCCAATGCCGCGGCGAGAAGAGAGCGAAGCGGCAGCGAGTCTAGTTCGATATCAGAGCGAGGAAGCGGTAGGACGGATACTATGACACCGGAGAGACGCATGGACCTGACTAACACGAGTCATGAAAGACACTCGAGTTCTTTGCCTCATCATCATCGCGTCACTCCCGAGAAGCAAACCGCTTCGTTACCTAGTCGTCATCATCAAACCGCGGAAGAATCCGGAGACGAAGAGTCATCTACTGTGGTAGTGAAGAAAGAACCGAGGGACGAGGAAACAGAAGAACGAAGCGCGAACGAGGAGGAGCAACAACAGTCGCAATCGACGAGGGAAGTGTTCGTGAAGAAGGAGATAGTAGACGACTGCAGGGACGAGGAGGATCAGAGTTCCTACAATCACCGAAGAAGTAGCCTTCATGAGACGCCGGAAGATGGACGAGAGGTTCTATCACCTCGTATGAATCCACCTACGCCCCGACCGACCAGCCAAGTGGAACAGGTCGCGCGTAGTCCTTGTAGAAACAGCACGAGCAGTCCCACTAGCAGCGATCGGTCGGTCACGCCGCGAGGTACACCTGACACTAAGGCATCCAGCAGTCTCGGAGCGCTTTCCTCCATGTTCGACAGCTTGTCCGGCGGTGGTGGTGGTACTGGCAGCGGCAATAACGTCGACTCGCAAGGACGTAAAACAAGTAGCCATCCTCTCGCGGCATTGCAGAAATTATGCGATAAGACAGAAACGCGAGGTCCCGGTGCTAGCAGCACCTCGAGATCCGGAGGTAGTTCTGCAGCTAGTACCATCGGTTCAGGCAGCGGTAGTACGGTAGGGGTGTCCGGTCCAGGCCCCGGTCCAACACCAGGTGCCATCTTGGCTTTCAGCTGGGCATGCAACGATGCCGTGGTCACCGCGGATTCAATAATGAAGTGTGCATTCTGCGATACGCCTTTTATTTCGAAAGGTGCGTACAGGCATCACCTGTCCAAGATGCACTTTGTCAAAGATGGCGTCATCCCGGATCCATTGACCATCGGCAGATCAGCGGCAGAAAAACGTCGCAGCGCAACAAGTCGCCGCCGATTCCACAGGCAAACGGCAGCCCGTCGCAGTCAGCGGCCTCACCCCTCGAGGAGAGCCCACACTCCAAATTTCTCAAGTATACGGAGCTGGCAAAGCAATTGTCCAGCAAGTACGTATAGTCCGAGCCCCGTAAGTAGCGGTGCCACTTGTACATAAGTGTATCTATACTGTAACGACTGTAAAACTAGCGATGTGAAAATTTTCATCCCCTTTCCCCGCGAACACCGCTACGCCGAAAGACGTCGTCGTGCATCCGACGTCTTCGGATTTATGCTTAAAGAGGCTGTGTCGTGGCTATATCGATAATGGAAAAGAGGTCATATGAGAGCTCGTACAATTACAATAAAATAATTTCACATTATCATCTATACATTTGATACAAATCTTGTATCCTTATTGCTGTAAAACGAGATGAGTTGAATCATAATATATTTGTAGTTTTCTTGTAATTGGTATATATTTACAAATCAAGGACTGAAATTAATATAAATTTACTGAGCTTAGATTTTGATGCCATAAGAACGAAAGATGATTTCTGTGTTAAAAGCCTATTCTACGATGTGCTTTTTGCAATTTGTTTTCTATTTCTTGCTTTTTACATCTTGCCTTTTTTCCCTTTTACAATCGTTTTAACAATAATTGTATTTCTTGTTACTGTTTCTTATTTCTTCTGAAGTTCGTTAACTTTTATCCCGAGCGACAGAAAACAAAAAACCAGATGAGAAGCAAAAAGACAAGATATAAAAAATAACAAAAGAACAAGAAACAGAAAACAAAAAAACACATTGTAGAATAGGCTTAAGTGAATAGTATAAATATTTTTTTTTGCTTATAGCATTGAAATTTGAATTCATTGGAATTATATTTTTAATTATTATTACATATTTCTATATATTGAGCCTACATCTGCTTGTTCAACAAAAAATATAATTAATATTATATACAGTACATTGAGATAAATAATTACGACTCATTGCTATAAGAGTTAATTTTTAACTAGTAATATAAAAAAATCAACTGATGTGTGTGATTAAATTCATGTTATATATACATTACTATTTAAAAATTTGAAGCATCTTACAATCTTTAGATAAAATTATTATGTATATATAAAATACTATATATTATATATATAAAACATAACATACATATATTTTATAAATATAATTATATAAATATAAATCTAGAGTTTACCCATATTTTACAAATTCTCTTGCATTCCTTTTATTTTAAGTATTTCTTTCGAAACTTGAAATTTTTTACGAAAATATATTTTAAATTGTTATCCATATGATGAATTTTTTATTTAGTAATTTCTGTGTTAAAAAATGATATAATTTTCGAGAATTATTTTGTACTTCTGTTCTTGAAAACATAATCGATACAATTCGATACAATCTCTTTATAAAAAAATATACAAAAAAATCTATAGCTGAAATAAAATCAGCAAACCTAAAGTTGTTTTTCTGTGTAAGGCAATTTAATAAACTTTATTTTTTAACATTAAACATAAGTATAATTTTACTTTTGTTTTAATTTTAAACTTTATTTAAATGTCTTTATTTAAATGTTCATATATAAATTTCAATATTTTTAATAAAATTATTGTATTTATAAAGAAAATATAGTTTATTCCAAAAATTAATTGAATGAGATGCTTCATATTTTTAAGCGGTAATGTATCCAATATCATTTTTAACATTTTTTAAAATTATTTGTTCATCGCTTTTATTAATTAGAAAGTTATAAATACAAATAAAATAAACAAATTATTATATTGGAAGCCTATTTTAATTATTAGTTTTATAATACAACAAACAAAAGACAGAAATTGAAGTTGATGCTCCGAAGTGATGTGTTGAAAGATTTTACAAAACTTGTTAAGAATTAAGCCTCGTCACTGCGCTCTTTCAGCCTAAATGTGGATATCTCCGTCGAAAAGACTTCGCCGTTGCGACGATATTATTATAGTAAGAGATTTCGTTCATTCGCAGAATAAATGCAAACGCGACGCGACTCCCTTTCCGTTTTTGGCGATCGGTTTTAGTCTATCATCGAGGACGCATCTTATCATTCCTGGGTTGGTGGCACGAATAGCGTGCATCAGACCCTTCAAAAATTACATTGGAGAGAGGCCTCAAATTCCGTTTTATATACATCTCTTTCATTGTTTCTTTTATACTGATTCCTCTCTTCTTTTCCCATTTATTATATTTTTAGTCGTTACGAGAAGATTATGCTCTAGAGTAGACCTCCGTGCGCAATCATTTGGAATGTTTCCTTCTCGCTATAGAATCACGTGCAACATGGGAAACGTCACGAGAGAATTTTTCTGCTTTTCGCAGAATTTTTTTCTCGATTGCAATCGCTACGGGAATATAAATCAAAGGCAGGACGCGAATAACTTTGTTCAATCGACATTTCCCTGTCATTAAGACTTTCTCGCAGTACGTTTCGCCTTTCCGTTTTTTCGTATCACTTTCCTTCCATCGGTATCGAGAATTAACGAATTGTACCAGTGACTCTTACTTTCTTTCGTGCCCAAGAAACGTGAGAGGATGTGATGAAGATGTGGGTGTTGAACGAGCGTTAATTAAATTGTGATGCCACCATATCTCGCGGCACTGCTGAGTCACGGGGCTCGGCACGCGGCCAAGTTTGTGATTTTATAAATACTTAAGGACGTTTACGACGTGAGATGAGAAAGATCGCGACGAGACAAAGGAAACGGCAAAAATTGATTAGAGCAAAGAGAAATGGATAGATAGAGAAAGAAGAAGAAGAGAGAGAACGAGAAAAAGAGAAAGCTTACCTATCATCTGTCGTAAGATCGTCAGCATGTATACCTCTAGATCGTAAGGCCGTAGTTTATTAGCGCATAGGATAGGCTAGGGTTCGACCCTGTATAGGAATCTCTTTGTTGATACTTATTACTACGAAAACCAGGTGAGGTTGCTCGCAGGGACGGACAAGAGCCGCCTCGAAGAGCGTTACGACTGCTGCGAATCGAAGGTGTGGAGATTTACACGAGCGAGTGTAAAAGCGATAAAGGGGTGCGGAGACGCGGTGCAATAGCGAGGCTCGCGATTAATTGAATAAGTACACGCGAGTCGAATGCATGCGTGAAATAATGGAATGAGAGAACGAATGAATGAATGAGAGAGAGAGATTGAAAGAGAGAGAGAAAGAGAAAGAAAGAATGTGTGCAAGTAAAAAATGGTCGTTGAAGAATGCATATTTTCTCGACGTAAATGCGTACGTGTAGATCATTGTAAATTTTCTTTGTTCAAATAATATTTATTGCGTCGTGAGCGAGCCAACGCGTCATTTTACGTGTAAAATATTGTCATTATTATCACTCGAATTATCGCGACTACTGTGTATATTGATTACATAATTACGATTATTATATGGCGATGATGCGTGGCGTGTGATGAGTGCAGTGATAAATGCGGAGCATAGGGCGCGAGCGGATTAGATGGAAAGGCGAATATGACGATGATGAGAGTAACAGAGAACGAGAGACTGTGTGTGCGTATATGTACGTGTGCGTGTGTGTTTGTGCGCGTGCGTGTGTGCGTGCGTGTGTGTGTGTGTGTGTGTGTATGAATGTGTGCGTGTGTGTTTGTTTGCGTGTCGAGTGAAGGCAAGGGATAGAAAGATAGAGTGAAAGTCTGAGGACAAGAAAGAATGCTTCCGAGAGATTGAGAGACTAGAAGCAGGCCGGAAAAGATGGAGCAGCTGCGTGCGGCCCTCAACAACGAAGGCCGGAAAAGAACGGAACATAACTTGTATACGTATTTCTTGTAAACTCTAATTCTTCCATCGCGGACTTTAAAAGTATTTATCGACATAATAATAATATTAATATTATTATATTGTAATTATATACGACTGCTGAGAGTGTGATGAACGTAACACGAGACGATTACGTGGCTGCGACCAACACGACATACATGTACACCTATTTACACACACACACACACAACACGCGCGCACGCATACGTACACACGTGAAAACACGCGTACACTGTCGCAGTAACACTCGAGGAAAGGAACAGCCAGCCGTGCGAATGATACGCTCGAAACGTACCTACCTACTTACAAACACGCAACCACAAAGATATGCATCATGTATACGCGACTCTTGAAACCATTTTACCAGATTTGTCATTATTTAATTATTTCGGTTGTATTTTAAAATGCAATTAAAGCTCAAATAAATATATATGTTATAAACTAAGAATGTACGTTTGTCTCGTGTGTGTTTATTTCCTGCCTGTCGTCTAAAGATTGAGTAATAATAATTTACTAAGAACTCTCGACGTAAAATATTCAGCATAAACGATATCATATCTTTTCGAAAATATTTTATGGAGATAAGGTGTTATTAATTTTCCTATATAAATATTATAAATACATTTTTTTTTATTTCATCATATAGTCATTCATTTTAATTTATGCAATGCCTTTTTGTGGAAATTGCGAGGGAACGAGTCACAAATAGTAGACTCTCCCGGTTGATAACTCGAGGAAACAACTATTGAGAAGCGATCCGAGCAACTTGCAATCGACCGTCAAACATTTTACATATTTCAGGAAACCGGCGCCGTCGTGAATCTCCATTAATTCTTATTAATTTGAACGATGTACCTATATACGGCGTATGTAAACGTCAGGTAAGTGTCTATTTAAAATAATTTGTCACCATGGCGTGTCTTCACTCTTTAAGTAAGTGGTTGACGGTTCAACCATTAAGTGTTGAACTAATAACGCGTGCTATTTGCATTATCAACGCGATCGTTAAGCATGAAACTACTTTTCGTTTTCTTTCGATAGAATGCCTGAATTAATTAGAAATACTGGTATCCATCTGCGTTCGCTCCGTACGTGGCTTATCTCTTCTCTTTCTCGACGATATGGCACTCAAATTTACGTTTGTGAACGTCAAAGAATGAGAGAGAAAGAAAAAGAGGTGAAGAAGGAGGATAGGAGGAAAGAAGAAAGGAAGAAAAAGATGGAGTCCTTAATATAGCGGGCAAGTCCGGACTCCACGTACACGCTCGCTAATTCAGTGCCATACAATACCATATCGAATGTATCCGCATCAGTATCAAACTCACCCCCGCGTATGTTAGCCGCAAAGAATAGACATGGTCGGCGGATAAACTAGATAAACCGGTGACTCTGTATACCACATTACGAGCGCACGATTTCGCTTATCAGCCGGGAGACGTTTCGCGAGATATCATCTCCCTCAAGGCCGCCGCTCGCCTTCGGACCCTTCGTTGATTCCAACGAATTCCCCGATCATCCCACTCGCCCACCCCTCGTTTCCCTCGCGTCGACTCCTCCTCACCCACACTGGCTGGATTCGCGGGTCGTCTTTACTTCTTCCTCTTTTTTTTTTCGCCATTTGCGGTGCATAATGATGACTTCGAGTCGCCGGATGGTGGTCGCCCAGCCAGCAAATCACGGTGAAGGTCGGTCCGCTGAAGGAGCCGAAGGGAGACCGGCCACAGAGAGGGACACATCGCGAGAGAGAGAGAGACAGGGGCAAGGAAGTGGGAGGGAAGGAGGTGGGTAGAGGAGCCGTGTACAGAAACCGGTCGGCCACTACTCGTCCTCTTCATAAGAGATACGCCGCATGCCGCAGATACGCGGATACTTTTAT